CCCCAAAACCCCAAAACCCCAAAACCCCTTTTGGTAAATTATGATTGGTAATATTAAGGTTACATGTCCATTCGTTGATGATATTGGTGAGATTAAACAAGTAGTTGGCAATTTGTTGTGTTTCCTATTTGTTCAAATGCGTTTTTGAGTTTTTCGTATAGAAGGAAGGTAATTGAGTGTACTGGGAATGCTCTGATTAATCAAGGGCCCATTCCTTTGAAAAATATTTTATATCCGTGTTTTGACATTAGCTGTGAAAATGTTGACATCATTTTTGTATTTTCAGGGTTATTCTGCATTGTACTTTTTACTACATCCATGGGGTGACAGGCAATCCAAGATAATTGGCCAGCAAGCCCTCCAGAAATAAGAATGTAAAGGTTTTTAAGTGATTGGCCGTTTGGATGCATCTCATCCGTCTTAAAAAGCCTCTTGAAGTAACCATAGCTTGCAAAGAACATTGCATATCCTGGAATTTCTCTGGCTAATGTAGGAACGAGACCTCTAAACAAACCTGAAATTCCATCTGCCTTGACAATAGAATAGTAGCTGATATTACTATTCATATAGGCTTGCTTTCTGATTTTAATATGCTCAATAGGACAGCATATTGGAGATGATATGATTCCTGCAAAGACTCCTGAAACAATTCCTTTAATGTTGTCGCTAATGTTGAAGTGGCCAATATTTCTTAAGCAATAGTCATTGGCTGTCATAGTTACTCCTGATATTGGAGCTCTTCCTATAATTGGTGCCATTGCTCCTTTGAACAACCCTCTAGCACCTTCTTTGATGCAAATCTGTGTGGAAAGCTCTAGCGCCGACTTCGAGCTGGAAAGCTGCATTCTTATACGGAGAGTATCTAAGGGATGACCCACAAACCCTCCACTGATTCCAGCTATAACACCAGCAGTAAAATCTCTGGCTGGTTTTGAAACCTCAAATCGGGGAGAGGGAGATGGTTTGTTGAGAATCATGAAGTAATTAAGTTTCAATACCTATCTAATATTCCGGGGTTTTGGGGTTTTGGGGTTTTGGGGTTTTTTTTGGGGTTTTGGGGTTTTGGGGTTTTGGGG